GGCTGGGACTTCAGGGGATGGCTTTCGTTTGTATCGAGGCGATATGCTTCCCCGTTGAGGTGTTGTCTGTGGCGCAAGCATACAGGATCTGACAACATTCAAGCACCCCGCAATGCCAGGAAACCGGTTTCAGCGTGCGAGCGCAGAGACCGTTGCCGTGGAGATGTCTGACGAAGGCTCCCGAAGGGTTTGGAAGGCTTAGGCAGAACAAGCAGAACTCACGGTTTTACATCACGTCGCTTGTGGCTTTCGGTGGCCCGAGGGCATGAGATTTTGGAATGCCGGTGTGAAAAGTGTACTGGTCCCAATACTGTTCCTGAAGGCAGTCTCAGGGCTGTGACAAATCGCGACCCCCAGATGGGGCTAGAAGCCACTCCATCATGTAGAGGCTTGAATACTTTCTTGAGACTTACCCATATTATTCTTGTGTGTTCGTTTTGTAGTTGTTGCAATACATATACTCTACCCCCCAAACGCCAATTCCAGGTATGAAGGCCCCGACATATTGGTACTTGCCAGAGCCCAAACTGCGGCTTGCCCCAAGCCTATCCTTCCGGCTCCTGGAGGAAGCCTCCCCTCGACAGCGGCCGGATCTGCACAATCTGCGGATACCGAAGCCACCGAGGCCGAAGCATCATCATCATTGTCACCATTACTTGGGTTATTAGTTATGACTTTGAATGTTGGGGTTACTATTTGTTCAATATTGCTACTATTACTGGTATTATTCTTGTTATTACGGTTACCATCAGCGGCAGTCTCGCTTTGGCTTGACATATTCACGGGCCTTGGCAGTGGCATGTCCAGCGCGTGTATCCGTATCTCACCCATGCACCCCGCACTGGAAAGGATGAGATCCTCGCGCGGCGCCTCCAAGCGGAGGAGGAAGAGGTGACTGCCATAGATCAGCATAGCCTAACCTGCTTTTCTCCGGGAGATGAGCATATGCAAACACGACACAGCTCAAGGCACCTGCATGAAGCCTAAAAGGGCTTTTTCACCAGTATAGTTCTGGCCCTAGACTCTCAGTTTGCTTCAGTCGTGGGCTTCCTGGTTTCGGTCCTCCCAGCTCACATGCCAGCAACGACACTCGCAACGCATCCACAATATTGAGTTCCGAAGCTTCTTCATGAAGTCTTATGGCCCTGATACTTGAGCTGTACTTGAGCTCCCTGCACAATGTAGTATTCTATCAATGAAAGGAGGCGACGCTCCCCGGCTCGACGGAGATGTCCGAGAGCGAGTTGGCGGCTCTGGCTCTGTTGCTCGACACAAAAAGGGCTAGGGCCCTGGGGTCCTTATAGTAAGGATCCTACTATTTAGGGTCCTATATTGGGGTCCCCATATTTTCGGAAACTCCCAATATAAGCCTGATAACACCCGTACAGCCCGAAACTCTGCGCTGAGAGGGTACAGCAACTCCTTGCAGAGTTCTACAAGGCTTCTACTATGGTTGAACTACAGAAGCGAAGCCTCAGGAGCGGGGCGAAACATCCGCAAAAGGACTCGAAGACCAAAGCGCTGTGCAAGGCACCTCGAGGAGGTCGAGAATGCCAAGAGCTTCCTGGATCCGTCGCTCCTAGCAGCGCCACCTGGTGAAAGAATTGAGATTCGGATTCTCGTCTACGAAATCATCGCCGAGACATTGACCTGACATATATACCGTGCCATAACGATTTCGTCATCGTCCTCAACTGCGTCAGACTGACAGGGAAACAGATGTTTTCACTTCTGAGGTTCTTGCAGGTTTCAGTTCTAGGAATGCCGGTGTGCGTTCGGACCTTGGATTCAGGGCTTCTGGCCCCTCCGACGCATTGAGTTTGAGAGTTGGGCTCGGTCCTCCCCAATATACTCCTCAAGGATTCGCCTGAACTTGCGCCTACGCCTAGGCTGTTTTAAGCGGTTCCTCGGAGTTTTCCTGGCTAATAGTCTTTTTATCTGTCTTTTAGCCTAAGAATCAACTGAGGCAATGATGACCCTCCTCAAGCAAAGACAGTTTTGTTCGTGCCCTCCTGCCACAACCAACTAAACCTCGCAGCCCTGAAGCCCCAGTTCCCTGAAAGCAAGGGCACAGGAAGAAGCCCCAAAGTCAAAATCCTGAACCCTAATAGCCTAAACCCAACAGCCTGAACCCTAAACCTTGCGGTAGATTCGGACGAGTTCCCTGCGGCGCAATATTCTTCAGCTGGGCGGGTGGCAACAAAACCCTGAACCGAAGCCCATGGTTATAAGTAGAGTTACAAGTACCCTGAATGGAGTTTCCCCAACTATGACCCTACTTATGAACGACTTTGACTACGTCCCCTTTTGCAGCCCAAGGCAGTTCCAAGAATACGAGCAGAAGTCTCGCGCTCGGCTCTCCTAAGGGGCAGGGATCTTAGGAGCAGGGCCTTCATCTTAGGGGGATGTTCCTTCAGAAATCCTCGTTGCTTTTCAGGCTTCTATCTTGGGGTCCCTTATCCTGAGACTCCGAAATGCTGCAACACCGGACGGCCAGAAGATTCCGCACCGCCGAGAGCCCCGTTTTTGTTGCGGCACGCTCCAAGGGGCGGATGACATCCGTCCCGCAGTGCATGTGGTTACATGGAGCCCTTAAGATTCGGACTTCTTCGATGAGCAGAGACCAGTGATCCACATATGATTCACCGCTTGCTGTATGCTCAGCTGCACTTGTGCTAATGATGAAGCACACGAGGCAAACATTCAACTCTAGCGGCGAGAATCAATCAACACCGTGGCTATGCATCGGAAGTCCATGCTGCAATATTGAAGGCCATGCTGATTCGACATGTCTGTATTCTGCTGTAAGCAGGTATAAGCGTGATAAAGGCTAGCTGACCACGGTCGCCAATTCGTGAGACCGGCATGGCGCAGCTGGACGACAGCCAGCTTGCCGCGACGCCTTCTGGTTCAAAGAAACATGTGTTTCCTTTGTAGGATGCTGCACTGTTTCGCAGAATCATGGGCCACAACATGTTGATTGTGCATGGCTGATACATACAGTACCTCTAGTTTGTCCTTGTTGCTTCTAGTTTTTGTTGTTCTTCTGGTTGTTGATAGCGTCGTGCTGTTGTTGATGCTGGTGTAGCTGGCGCTGGTGCCGGCGCGGGCCCTGACACTAGCGTTGGCTGCTGCTGCTGCTGCTGCTGCTGCTGCTGCTGCTGCCAGTCTTTGTCAGCTCCACATATGTGTTGCAGCGAGCTTCCTGGCAGACGGTCTCCGTCACATCGAATGCTGGTAGTCGTGGTGGTCGTACATGCAAAGCAGTAGCAGGACGAGGGAGTGCGGAGTCGCAGTCGTCGTCGCAGTAGTAGTTGTTTGATGTGTTTGTAGTTGTAGTTGCAGTTATGGCAGTAGTTGTAGCAGCCGCGGCAGCAGCAGTCGTCGTCGTCGTAATAAGTCGTAGTAACCGTAGTAGTGGCGGTAGTAGTAGTAGTAGTAGTAGTAGTAGTAGTAGTAGTAGTAGTAGTAGTAGTAGTAGTAGTAGTAGTAGCAGTAGCAGTCAGTAGCATTAGCAGTAGCAGTCGCAATCGCAGTGGCAGAGGCAGTGGCAGTAGCAGTACTCAGTAGCAGCAGCAGCAGCAGCAGGAGCAGCAGCAGTGGCAGCACTAGTATTTAGTAGTCGTGGTCGTCGTCGTAGTAGTAGTAGCAGCAGGAGCAGTCAGCAGCAGCAGTAGCGGCAGTAGCAGTAGAAACAGGCAATGGGAGGAGAAACAAGCAGTAGAAGCAACATGTAGAAGGTAGAAAGTAGAAAGAAGAAGTAGTAGGAGTAGTAGCAGTAGGAATAGGAATAGGAATAGGAATAGAAGCAGGAGTCGGGGTAGTACCGCTAGTAGTAAGTACTCGAACGACCATAGCTGCTATTGTAGGCATGGGTGCCTTGAGAACAAACTTGCCGTGTTTTTGTCTAGCACTTCTGTGGCAGTATGCGTACTGCTTCTGCAATTTATGCTCGTACAGATTCTCACCTTCTCCGACCCCGACTTCGGGTTTTGGCCACCCAAGACTCCCAGGAACTCCGACGCCTTGCACAACCCATCCAGACTCCTGGCATTGTGAGTTGTCAACAACATCATGTCCCCTACGGTTTGTACGGGTAACTATGTCGGACATGTGCGATGGCTATGATTTGTCGTCTTGCAACTTTGCAGGTGCTGGATTTTGAAGTGTTGGAGCTTGGGGGTTGGCTTGATTTTCACGATACTTGGCATTTAACTTTGGGTTGCAGGGTTGCTTACTTGCTCTGAAATCGCTCAGGCGGAATTCAGGGTTCTACGAAGATACAGACAAAATCATTCAATAAACGGTGCACGAGTTGAAGGCGGAAAGTCCCGAGGCAGCGACGGTCTCGAGCGGGCAACACTCTACGCAGAGTCTTGTCGCAACCCGGCTCATTTCGTCTTGCAATATGCCCAGACATGAAGGTTTGGTTCTGCTAGGTAGTATCACTTGCTGCTGCGGCTGCTGCTGCGACGACAACCAGCACGCGTGAGTTTGCCTGGGAAGCATGTACCGTATTCAGAGTATGTATGTATATACACTCATACAGCAGTATACCAGAGACACGCATCTGTCTGACTATCAATTTCTCTATCTACCTATCTATCTGTTTACCGATGTACCTATCTTTCTATCTACCTGCTCTCGATCGATCTGTCTATCTGTCTGTCTACATTTATTTGCCTGTCTTTCTGTCTCTCTAACTCCCTATCTCTCTATTTACAGTACTTAGTTTGTTATCTATATCTAGCATATCTAAATCTAGATAAAATCTAGCTGGCTATCCAACCTTCTCGAGAATTTAGAGCGCGATGCCTTCGGCATCTAAGGCGGAACAGTATACCACTCGCCAAAGTCTCTGGTCCAATTTTCAGGTCGCTTGGGATTTCCTGTCGAGCCGGCCATTGCAGTATGGCTACGACTCGGTGGATCATGCCTTCAGGTGCAGCGCAAGCTTGCGGGTTTCGAACCATCGGGGGCTTCGGTGGACGTCGTGCCGTTGCACAAGTTGAGGAGAATGCGAAGACAAGAGACTGTACATGGCCAGCAATTTATCGTCCCGAGACCCTCAACACAAGTGTGGTAGCCAGAGTTTCCCTGGCCCATATATGTCCCGATGAACTAGCGGAAGCCACTTTGTGTGCTTGGCAATGCCGACTAGAATGCTTTTAATATTTTTGCGGTGGACAGAAAAGCTTGCTGTGTTCCAATCAGCCCCAGGCGTGCATAAGAAGATTTCCCGGAAAAGGACACTTGGCTACCTCGGGTAGTCATATAAGCAGAGATAATATGGCAGAAGGAAGAGCACCACTTTGCTGAAAGGTGCCGTGGGAGAGCTGCCTGCTCCCGGCCTGCGACTTCTTGGCCGAAAGCTCGAGTTGCACATCTCGATTCGGCTTACAGGTTGTTTTATAGGGTTTGGGGTCATAGGTCGCGAGAGCCCAGTTTTCAAAAGCCTTCGTAAGTCACAGGGTAGGGTCTTACAGAGCCCGTTAAATATAGGGGCCTTGATAATTACCTGCGCTATTGTTGGGGTTCCTTGTTGTAATTATTTATAAGATACATAGTAGGCCCCAAAACCCTACTCTAATTTTTAAGGCCCCCTTATCTTAGAATCTCACAGCCGAGGTCTGCAGCAGCTCGGATTCCGAGCATCCTATGCGCCACGAGGAACGGGCAATGCAAATGCGCGGCGTCGCTGCAAGGATGCTGCATGACCCACCTGAAGCCCCAAAGGTAGGTAAAACGCGTGGCAGAACACCTGTAAAAGCAAGTGTTCTACATAATTTTGGGGCCCAGGCACGGTTCAGAGATGTTTCGGGTTTAGGGGGTTTGCTCAAATGACCAGTCTTGCTCTTAGTGGAGTGTTTGTTTTGAAGTTAGTTTGTGGGGTAGGAATTGCTGAGGCTCAGAATGCTTTTGCCGGGGTGGAACCTGCACAGGACATACAGCTCTCAGTATTCTTGAGTTTCGCATCATCCTGACCATTTCCGGATCTGGAGCAGTATTGGCATCCACCTCGTGTTTCTACTCGTTGGTCTTGTCTGCTGCTGGTACGGCCTTGGAGTTCTTCAACTCCTCGTCATAGTAAGGGCAGCCTTTGTTCGCAGGAGTTTGTGTAACATCTACTTGACTATCTCTTTCCGAGGAGAGTGCTGCGTGACCTGGCTTGCATGCCGATGGATTTTTTGGAGTCCGGGGATTAGAACATGTTGGAACCGTGCGGCAGCCCAAGCCCACTAACGCAGTTGCTGTCTACACTACAGTGCATCAACAGAATCGGTACGTGTAGCCCATGCCCTATAGCTTAGAAGCTGCCCCCACCCTGTAATGGTGACTACAAGGATTATATTATAGGGCCCTATTATATTCCTATTATACCACTATTACAGGGTGGGGGCCCCTTCTAACCTATAGCCATAGAAGATGTGCACATTCGAGGGTACATCCTGGAGCGGAACACCTCCTTGGAGGTTCTGGACTTGGGCCACGCAGGAGCTGTTCCCTCGATGTGGCGGAATGAGGTCGTGCTACGATGCTTTTGCAGGGTTGCCTGAAACCCATAAGGAGAATAACAGCTCGCATGAAAGTAGCGCAGGAATTGACAGCGATGGCATCGCTGACATTTGCAAGGTCCGGTCCGGTTTGCTTCAAGAAGCATTATGTGAGTAGCTTCGGTGTGCGGTGCACTTCCGATCTTTTGGGTCTAGCCATTCCATGTGTTTGTTGCGTTGAAGGCTGTGCGTGGTCATTTTGCGTCGGTCCAGAGTTTGTGTTGGCTTTGAGACCTGAGTGGTGAACAGTGCGTACTGCACATTGTCGGACTTGGCACCGTGGTGATGGCAGCAGCTTCCAGTTCTGTGCACGGAGACCACCTGAAAATTGTTGACAAAATCTTTGGGAACCTTGCGCCTGAAAGCAGGGCCTGCGGCAAAACAAGACCCTGAAGAGCCTGAGCTTGAGGCCAGCCGTGCCGTTCGGAGAAGTTTGCAGGTTGTATAAAGTATAGTCTAGGTTCTTGCTTAGGTGAAGCTTCCTCGACAGCTTAATGCGGCACAAGCTGACCTTTCGAGTGATTGTAAGATTGTAACTTCAGAAGTATCAAGAGACCCTCTTGCTGGCGAGTGAAGAACATGAACCCCCCAGACCCACCTTCTTCAGGGAGGCAGGCTTCGCACTCCGAAGGAGGAGCTGCCTTCTTGCAAACTAGGTCATGCTCAAAGCAAGTCTCAAACCACAACTTCCGAGCTACAATCTTAACCCTGATCTGCGAAAGGCTTAAATCTAGAATCTAGAGCCCCAGAGCCCTACTGCAGCCATCCTCCCTCAGACGTTCCTACAGATTGAGGCCCTTCTCCATTTGTCGTTGAAGCTTGGGGTTTTGCCGGAAGATGTCTTTGACGCCCCCGAATGGCCGATAGCAGTATAATTGCTACCAGGAAGCTGGGACTGAACGAACCGCTTCTTCTTGTCAATGTCAGCCTGCCCAAGTGCAGATGCAACAGCTTTGCCAACTTGCGCATGCTGCTTTCTAGGAGGGGCTTGCGGAGCCTGTGTCGGTCTTCGGTGTTAGAATCTTATTTGGTGTTTGTGAGGACCCAGAACTCTGTCGGCCTTGGGCCTAGATTGGGTGCCACAGTACCGTGATCGAGACTTTGGCGCTGTTGGGAACTGGATTGGATCTTCCTTTCAACGTTCCCCCAGAGAATCAACAACTGACTAAACCCGAAAGCACATGGCCCAATGACTGAGTGTTTGGTATGCCAGGGGAAACTACCTCGGCCCGAAGGCGCGGCAGACTAAAAATGGGGCCTTAAATAAGTACTGATCTTTTCCGTTACAGGGTTCCTGACTGACATATCCCCAACTCCTGTTCAATATTCAAGTTTTCAACCACAATTTGACATATGACGGATGTTTGGGTGTTTTGCTCGGTGCTTCGAAGATTTGGGAACTGACTCCCCTTCCGCAGCTTGCAAGGGGCTTGGACGGCTCCTTGCTGTCGTGTCAGCCGTCTCGAGAAGCTGACGATGGTTGTACGAAGGATAAAATCTGAGTATGGGAGTTCCTTCTGACTAATATGGGTCAGATACTGATCAGGTGCTAGCATTGCCATGTTAAGGACTAGGAAGTAACAGGCGGGGAATCGCGCCTGCATGGTGGCCTGGGTTTCAATTCGGTTGGTGCACATCTGACTCAACAGTCATTGGAATGGGGTGCGATGTTTAGACAGAGAGAAATTGCAAGCACAACGGTGAAGATAATGCTTGATTATCCGTCATCATGTTGAAGATGCTGAAGAACATCCAGCACACGACTTGCAGTACGGTTTTTGCACCGGTAGTAGCCAGAATGAAGCTCCTCGCAGGGGGGACAGCTTTTGGCTGAGATGGTCGATGAGCTTCGTGGCCATGTTACAATGCTAGCACTCGAGGAGTACCCTCGGAGATTGTTGGGCTTTCCTGTGACAGGCTTCGCTGGACGGTAACAGGCGCTTTGCATTCAGCTTCCGAGCTTTCAGGTGGAGGGTTTTGGAGGTTCTGCTTGGTGTTCATGTGACCCAACCACGGCCGAACGACGAAGAGGTCCGACGATGTGTAAGCAGAGAAGTGAGGAATAGTCTATTCCGCATAGACAGACCATCTTAATTCAATCCTATATACATATATAAAAATACTTATACATACACATACACACACGCACATATTACAAGCTCCTATCTACATCTGTATCAATATCGGTCTCTGTACCCGGACCTGTATACATCTATATTGTGCCTATATCTATATCTGTCTACATGTTATTCGTCCGGATGCCCAGGCTGCTGCAGCAAGCTGGACCGGGAGGCATTTGGCTGCCCCTAATAGAGCGATGAAAGCGCAGAGGGTTGATCGTAAACAAATTACGACGTCCAGAGTATATGGATGTTTAATCTTGACCATCTTAGGAAGCCCGCATGTCTCGGCTGTGTATGACCCTTCCAGATGAGGTAATCCTGATGTCCCTGCCGTATTTGTTCTGCACCCGTCCCTTGCAATCGCATGCCTTGAACATTAAGTGTGTTGCATTAGGTCATTAGAGTATGTCTGTGCGCACAGAGGCTTTATTGAACAGTCTTGGTTTGAGTCGGCAGGCAGTCGCCTTCGTCAGCTCGTAACCAACCCTAAGTTGTAAACCCTACCTTGAAGTGGAAACGGCGTCCAGGATCCACCAGCCTTCGCATGTTGGACATCTCAGCTTGTGCTTCGGCTTCGATAAGGACAGGCAGCTGTTGATCTTTGGAGTGGAAGCCGTTCCGGCGTCGACTCGTATTAAGTATTGTAAGGAGGCAACGGGGCGTGCGAGGAATATGCACACAGCATTTACTTGGTCATCGCTTGACCGCTTTATCGTTCTACCAGCATAGTACCTTCATGCTGGCGGAATGAGTGAGTCTACGTTTAAATCTTTGCAAACTCGCAGCTGCTCGCCCGGCCTGTGCTATCGAGCCCGGCCTGGGTTAGTCAAGTCTGAGCATCGATTTTGTCTTGTTAGCATCCTGTTTCGGCCTGTAGCCGCTTCTGGCGAGAAACCACTCGAGACATGGGGCTCCAGTTGAACAGTCCGAAAATTTGATGCTGCTTCTTCCTGTAGGTCCGGGTTACGAATGAAGCCCCGCTTTCTTTCGGCACCGGCTGCCCAGAGCAAGCGGTCGCTTTCTTTCGATGGACTTGTATCGACTTGAGCGAGCGAAGGATGCCCTTCGCTGGCGGTTTAGGGCTTATAGGGTTTAGGGTGTAAGGTTTAGGGGTTTAGGGTTTAGGGTTTAGGGGTTTAGGGTTTGTAGGGTTTATAGGGTTTATAGGGTTTAGGGATCACCCACGTCTCAGGGGGTCCTGTCCTCTCTTGCTACTCGACAAACATGTGTTTATCCTCACAAGAATCCGCGGAGAAGAAGGCCAGTAGAGGCGCAGTCCACATACTATTACCACGGTACGCGCACACACAGGCAGTGTAAAGCTGACCACATCGTGTGTGTATATATATATTTCTGTATATGTATATATATATATATATATGTATGAGAGAGGCGCCTCTAGGGTCTATTTTACGCTCTATTCTTTTCTGTATGACTATTAATATTTTAAATAATTGAAATAATTGAAATCCACCCATTTCAATTATTTCAATTATTTGAATTATTTCAATTATTGAAATCCCTGGATTTGGTGGCTTGGGCCCATCGAACCTTGGGACTTCAATTATTTAAATTATTTAAATCCGCCAAAGGGCCCAAATAATTGAAATAATTGAAATAATTGAAATCGATGGCTGTTCTGGCCCAAGCCACCAAACCCAGGGATTTAAATAATTGAAATAATTGAAACAATTGAAATGGGGGGATTTGAATTATTTCCATTTTTTTTTGTTCCGCCAAAGGGCCCAAATAATTGAAATAATTGAAATCCCCCCATTTCAATTATTTCAATTATTTCAACTATTGAAATCCTTGGATTGGGTGGCTTGGGCCCATCGAACCTTGGGATTTCAATTATTTCAATTATTTAAATCCGCCAAAGGGCCCAAATATTTGAAATAATTGAAATCGATGGCTGTTCTGGCCCAAGCCACCAAACCCAGGGATTTAAATAATTGAAATAATTGAAATCCGGCTGATTTCAATTATTTCAATTATTTAAATCCGCCAAAGGCCCCAAATAATTGAAATAATTGAAATAATTGAAATCCCCAATTATTTCAATTATTTCAATTATTGAAATCCCTGGATTTGGTGGCTTGGGCCCATCGAACTTTGGGATTTTAATTATTTTAATTATTTAAATCCGCTAAATAATTGAAATAATTGAAATCGATGGCTGTTCTGGCCCAAGCCACCAAACCCAGGGATTTAAATAATTGAAATAACTGAAATAATTGAAATCCGGCCGATTTCAATTATTTCAATTATTTTAATCCGCCAAAAGCCCCAAATAATTGAAATAATTGAAATCCCCACCCATTTCAATCATTTCAATTATTTCAATTATTTCAATGATTCAAATCCCTGGATTTGGTGGCTTGGGCCCATCGAACCTTGGGATTTCAATTATTTCAATTATTTAAATCCGCCAAAGGGTCCAAATAATTGAAATAATTGAAATCGATGGCTGTTCTGGCCCAAGCCACCAAACCCAGGGATTTAAATAATTGAAATAATTGAAACAATTGAAATGGGGGGATTTCAATTATTTCAATTATTTAAATCCGCCAAAGGGCCCAAATAATTGAAATAATTGAAATCCCCCACATTTCAATTATTTCAATTATTGAAATCCCTGGATTTGGTGGCTTGGGCCCATCGAACCTTGGGATTTCAATTATTTCAATTATTTAAATCCGCCAAAGGGCCCAAATAATTGAAATAATTGAATTCAATTATTTCAATTATTTCAATTATTTCAATTGTTGAAATCCCTGGATTTGGTGGCTTGGGCCCCCCCTCCCTTCCATCTCCCCTCCCACCCCTGCCTCCCTCCCCACCTCCGCCCTCCCCCCCCCCCCTGCCCTGCCCCGCCCCTGCCCCCCCCGCTCTGTCCCCGCGCTGCCCCCTGCCCCCTGCCCCACCACCTATCTCCTAATCCAGCCCCCCCTACCAAAGAGTTAGCGAAGATGTCATTCGACAGAACAGCTTCGCCGTCAGGATCGGTCTTGGAAATGGGAAGAGACAGCAGGCTCCAAACCGCCGTGTCTCACCCACCACTTCAAGGGCTAGGGATCCCACACATCTGCGGGCAAAATCTGGCGGAAGTGATCCGCCACCGAGCAAAAAGCCTGTAAATACCGCATTAAACAAAGGGCCAGGGATTTCACATATCTGGTGGCAAGATCTGGCGGAAGTGAGCAGTCGGTACTTCTGTCAGATTTTGCCAACAGATATGTGAAATCCCTGGCCCTTTGTTTAATGCGGTATTTACAGGCTTTTTGCTCGGTGGCGGATCACTTCCGCCAGATTTTGCCCGCAGATGTGTGGTAGGGTTTAGGGCCTAGGGTTTGGACTTTAGGGTTTAGGGCCTAGGGTTTGGGCTCTAGGGTTTAGGGTTTAGGGACACATTTCAGGCCGGAAATGTGTCATCTTTTCCGCCTTACAGAAAAAAACATGACACATTTCAGGCCGGAAATGTGTCATCTTTTCCGCCTTACAGAAGGAAGCATGACACATTTCAGGCCGGAAATGTGTCATCGTTTCCGCCTTACAGAAGGAAGCATGACACATTTCAGGCCGGAAATGTGTCATCTTTTCCGCCTTACAGAAAGAAGCATGACACATTTCAGGCCGGAAATGTGTCATCGTTTCCGCCTTACAGAAAGCAGCATGACACATTTCAGGCCGGAAATGTGTCATCTTTTCCGCCTTACAGAAGGAAGCATGGCACATTTCAGGCCGGAAATGTGTCATCGTTTCCGCCTTACAGAAAGAAGCATGACACACTTCAGGCCGGAAATGTGTCATCTTTTCGTTCAGGCCTCCCCCTGTTCCCTTGCCCCCTCTCCTACCATCCCTGCCTTCCCCACCTCCTCACCTTTCCCTCTCCTTTGCCATTTGCCCCCCTGCCCCCTGCCATCTCCATCATATCCATCACCCCCATCATCTTCTTCATCTCCATCATCTCCATCATGTTCATCATCTCCATCATCTCCATCATCTCCATCATCTTCATCATCTTCATCATCTCCATTATCTTCATTATCTTCATCATCTGCATCATCTTCATCCTCTTCATCATCTTCGTTGCCGGTTTCGTTGGTTTTAATACCGCTCCCTCTATTCTTAAAGGTAATTTCATAGGTATTGTACGAACCATAATACAATCGATTTATCTTAACTACTATATCAAGAATAGCTTACCACATCGCATCTACATACTTTGTAACCGGGCTTACTATAAAGGCCCCATATGAGGGATCCATAATGGGTTTCTAGAAAGTCTCTCTGTAAGGGATCTACAGTTTTTTATATAATGGATTTATATAAGGTCTCTACATAGAGGCTCTATAAGATTTCTAAAAGCAATCTGTAAGGGTTTTCCAGAAGGGCTCCATACGAGGGATCTATACAGGGCTTCCATGTGGTTTCTACAAAGGGTAAGGAATATATAGCAGTTGTCTATGAAAGCTCCATGTAAGGGATCTTGTAAAGTTTTCTACAAAGAACTCCATTTGTTGATCTATACGGGGTTTCTATAAGTTCTCTATATAGGGGATCGATAAAGTTTCTATACGAATCTATAAAGGCTGTCTGTGAGGGCTCCATACAAGGGATCTGTGAAGGGATCTATGGGGATTCTTCATGGGAATGTATACCTTCGATACGGATAATTGCGCATTTGTTAAGATCGTGAAGACTATTAACTACGTGATATCCTTCTTGGCTAATGCTGTGATCACATCAGATCTGATATGTATAGAGATACATTGGAATGCACATAGGAAAACAAACTGACACATTACAGGCCTTCTAATGTGTCATTATTCCTGTTGAAACCTTAAAGGCAAGGAACTTATACACTGTAGGGCATCTGTATATTGGAAGGCCTCTGGGTAGTATAAATTGACGCATTACAGGCCCTCTAATGTGTCACTCCACTCCCTCCTATGGAACCTCTATTGCAATGGAACTTTTCCACTGGAAAACCCCTGGACATAATAAACTGTCACACTGCAGGCCCTATCATGTGTCGCTCCACCTATCCTATTGAAACCCTACTGATAAGAAATTGATACATCGGAAAGCACTTTTTATGGACATAACAAACTGGCACATTAAACCCACTATAATGTGTATCTTCACTTCCTGGGTCCTGGACTGGGCAAATTGACATATTACATGCCCTCTAATGTGTCACTCCATTTCTCCTACTGAAACCCTACTAACAAGGAACTTATACACTGTCAGGCCCCTGTGCCTGGGCATATCAAACTGACATATTACAGGCACCCTAATGTGTCACTCCACCCACTCCGATTGACACTCTACTGACAGGGAACTTATACATTGGAAAGTCCAGGACATAACAGATTGGCACATTACATGCCCTGTAAAGTGTTACATCATGTGATATGGATGTGTCATGCCGTATGTATTCCCATAATTTGTCATATAAATACATCCGATTCATGAGTACCGAACCTGTCAGGTTTTGCATTCTGGCCTGTGCGGAAATTACAAACAAATTTATGCCATATAACAGCGTGCATGCTTATTACGTGATTTTTGGATGGATATGTCGTATGCAATTACTCAAGCGTTGGCAAGTCAACAATAAGTCGAATTGTGAAATATTTGGACAGGACAATTTGTCCATGTTGCCGATATACTGCTGACAGTGCTATGCATATCTTCACGACGATACATCATTCCTGCAAGATGTATGGACTCTATACACTGAAATGTGTCATCACAACGAATGTTTATTCATCGACAGTGTTGGGATCAACACTCGATGTTCTGTTTATATAATACTCGTCTCCCTGAATGCGAGTAATTTGCTATAATTACTTGATAGAAAAATATAGCCTAGTCGATCCGAAACTTTTCAGGTCGTGGCTTTGTAATGTGGGCTGTGCTTATACCTTACATTTTGCTTTCCATTATGTGCTGAAGACAACAAACCGCGGTTATATAGACCCTAAAGGTATCGGGCACATATATGTATACATATGTGTATATTTATGGAGAGACCATCGAATGCTTCGTTCCGCAAGGCTCCATTGGCTCCGGTTGCGTTCGCCATCTTGCGCAGGCCTGTTGGGAACGAGCCGAGCTACAATGGGCCTGAAGCTAGCGCTCGGCCTTGCGGACCCCTTCGCCAATGTTCAGATGAGTGTACCCAGAGGCCCCAAAGTAGTTCCTTTTTGGAGTTACCCTATAGGATTCTATATTTGAACCCCAAAAAGGAACTACTTAGGGGCCCTTGGGTAGTAATTATAGGACATTCTAGGAGTGTGTCTGAATTTCATTGCTAGACCTTCGCCCATGTGCTAGAATTGAGTAGGGCTGGAAACATATTTGAGCGACTTCTCAGTCCAGTCGCGTCGGTGCACCGAAGCCGATGAGCTTTGCGTGTGGTGGAGGTGACTGGGCTGAAGTCCATTTATTCCCGGACAATGGCTTCATCCCAGCCGCATGAATGCAAAGTCAGAGGCATTTCATCCACAGGACTTGTGCATAACATCGTGTTTGCCTCCCTGCAGAAAATCAAGCTGCCGCGTCCAATATTGGGTGCACATGCTGCCTTCCTACATGCCCTGGAAGAAGAAGGTATGCATATGAGGATATACAAGATTGTTTTTGTCGCGCTTGTTGACTTAGGCTACGGTTGGCAGTCAGGGCCTTTAAGCATGCATGAAGGAGTCTAGGCTCCCCCATAAAGTGCCCAGTTCTGTTGGGCCCCAACTTCTTATTAAACTCTGCAATACGAGTGTCTTTCTGCATATTGAGGTTTATGTGTGTGTGTATATATATATATATATATATACATCTGCAATGACATGATCTGAGCCACATATATGCATACATATATATATATATATATACATATATATATATATATATGTAGATATAGATACAGATAGATATACATATAGCGGCATGTTGACTAGGTGTAGATGTATTCTCGTATTTGTTGACTAGCTTGTTTCGTCCTTAATTCATCTTCTGGCGGTGCTGAAGGCAAGGAGCACCATCGGTGAATGTGGCGGACAACTTCGAAACGGAAGCGCCTCCGTTCGCATTTTGTGAGTACTTGCCGTGCCATCCGGTTGCCTGTCCTCACAAAATCAAATGGCGGCGCTCGTGCCAAGCTTGTCCTGAATTGGAACCTACTGCTGTTTGGTTGCGCGGTTTTCAGAGGGCAACATGTCGCCACAAAGCCGCCGAAGCTAAACAAGGAGCTGTGGAACGCGATCACGCACGGCATGATGTTCTTCTTGTGGCCCGGTCAGCTGGACAGTAGCAGAGTAGGACGTAGGAGGCAAAGGATCTTCGGAATAAGATGCTCGCACATCTGGTAAGTAGTTTATCTGTTCTTTCTTTTCTTCCTTGTCATCAGCACCACATTCGTATTTAAGATGCTGAGTTCATGCAAGGGGTTCTTCAGCTAGCGTCTTCAACGCCGGTGTGTATTTTTGGGATATCCTTGCAAATGAGCTAATTAGGGTACCACACTTAACACAATGTACTATCATGTACGATACAGTAATTACTAGAATATGCAAGTCGTCCTTGTAGCTTTTCCGATCGCTCGGAACGGCAGATGGACTTCTCGAAGGAGAAACCATTGTACAGAACCCTGAGTAGTAGGATCCTCTGCATGCATACCCCCACCAAGCAGATCCCTAGTCCGCAGGTTGGTGAACCAATATGAACTTCACTCGTTGTGGTGTCCGCCAATCCTGCTTCTGTCACAGCCTCATGCGAGGTCGCTCTTTGGGACCGGCCAGCTCTTGTACCAGGTGGAGCGGGGAGATACTGTACGGCTGCGTAGATACAAGGATGTAGATGAGATCTGCCTAAATGGCGCTGAACAGCTTCAGCCGGAGCCTTCCTCAGATCTGAGGGGAGAGCCTAACTACTGAGGAAGCTCCCCGGAGCATTCCCCGAGAGCTGACTCTCCAGGCGGCCGACAGCCCGGTTCACCACATCTGGGGCATTGCGATCTTCGGATTTGGCCTGCTCTTTTGCTTCGGGTCCTCCACCTTGCAACTTGGATAAGGACAAGGCTTGCTTTGCAGTTGTTTTAAATTTATGGCTTTTGAAAGGCCTGAGGCGAGGCACCATGAGCGCAGAAGCTTGGGTTGTGATGCGAGCTTGATTTGTGAGCTGCTCGTGCTGACATGAAACTTGCTGCAGGTACCATTCCCTGTTCATGTACCCGGTTACTGCGCGGGTCCTGCAGGTGCTGGACCATGCTGCAACCCAGACCAATATTGCATGGCGGTTGCCCTCCCGCATGAAGTTCCGTGCAGTGTCCCATAAAGCTTTGTTGCCAGTTGGCCTCATCGCATGACAGAGTAGGCGGCCGAACGCTCAATGCTTCGCACAGCTTCTTGCTTTGAAGAGAAGTGCAAACCGGCCCGATCTCCAAAACATCTGCTCGCGCAGACTGCTGCAGTCGCACCAGAGGCAATTTATTTTCTCATCGCTGCAACGTACACGCCTTTCCTGCTCTTCTACTCGGAGACTTGGCCGAGCTCAGGAGGTTTGACATACTCTTGACAGTGTTGCCTTTGCGTTCGAAGCCGTCGTGGCTGCATTCTAGCTAGTGCAGCGGTGCACAGCAGCGCAGCTACGTGCCAAGGATACGCCGATGCATGGTGACCTGCTCAAAGCAGTGACTTGGCCGAGCTGAACTGCTGGAGGTCGAAGTATGTTGCCCGTGCACAGCACAGCAAGTCATATGCGAGACCGAAGCAGGTGCGGCGGCTCGTTAAGAGCCTGTTTTAGTTTGGTTACCATGCGGTTCGGTACTGCAGCAACACGATCGGGACAGTGCCATACCGTCGTTAGTCAGCGTTCTGGTGTATTCAAGGAGCTTATCGGCTGAGATTGGTTGGTGTATAGCATGGCATACTTCGTGCCTTGAGGAGTGGATCCTGTGCTGGCTGGGCATCGTGACACACATCTGCTCTCAGTATTTTGACTGGGGTACATCTGCGCCTTGAATGCAGCCCAGTGCGGCAAGAAGGGGCTTGCCACGCACTTGTGGCCTGCTAGGGTGTGCTCGATTTTACACCCCCGACGAAAAGCGGGTACAAAAGAACCCTAAACCCTAAACCCTGTCAAAGCACTTCTGAACCAAGAGACCTCGCTTGGCAGAGTCCGAGTTGCGAGAGCGTAAACTGGCGTAAACCCGAGAGCCTAAACGAAAGGTTCCATACCTGACGGGCGAGCTGCTGCTTTACCTGGCCATGGGCTGGGCGGCCGTTTTGGCCTGGGACACTCTCGGCTATTACTGCCTGGTAATATACAGGGCTTTAGCACCGTCGACAGGGATTTCTGTAGACATATAATACTAGGAATTGATAGAAATCTTCGTTCCAAGCCAAAGATGGCATTGAACTGTCATGCGTGGTTCGATGCTTCGCAAGTTTGCGCGTGTCAGCGCGAGAGCTGTCCGTTCTGGCTGAAGCGTTTTTTTTTCGAATCGAGTTTCAGCTTGCATGAGCTGCACTTTCTTCAATGTTGAAGGCGCGTTTACCGGGCGGGAGTCTGACCGCGGAGCAGGGTAGAACACGGCAGCTTCACTTCCCCCAGGATACTTTCATGGCCCAGCTTCCACAAGCCTGCTGGTCTTGGCTCATGGCTGGGGGGCCACTTGGTCCGACAACAGAGCGAGGAATGAGTATAGGAAAAGTGTGACATAGGGTGAGAACATAAGGAGATCAACGAGAATGCAAAGAGTGAAAGGATCGAGAACAGTGATGCAGAGTGAAGAGAGAAAAAGGTAGGCCCGAAGCCATTGCCTGTGTGCTCATGTTACCCAGGCAAAATCCAGGTTTGGTAGAGCCAGACTAGAGCTGCTCTCACTCCTCAGTCTGCCAGCAACAAGCTTGAGCAGACTTGCAGAGTGTGTGATCTCAAGCTGTATGCGTGTACATGTTACAGTAATGCACAACGAGGGTAGAAACACGCTCACTATGCTACGAGCCCTTTCGTGATAAGGCCAGAGCGAATACCTGCAGGACCGCCAAGAAAAGCAACAAGGTGTCGCGGGAATCTGTCTATCCGTACACTGTGCCAGCAGTCGTGTTACTATAGGTGTTCGTATGTATACATGCACAGAAGTGGGGGGGGGGAGAGAGAGAGAGAGAGAGAGAGAGAGAGAGAGAGAGAGAGAGAGAGAGAGAGAGAGAGAGAGAGAGAGAGAGAGAGAGAGAGAGAGAGTGAGAGTGAGAGTGAGAGTGACAGTGAGAGTGAGAGTGAGAGCGAGAGCGAGAGGGAGAGCGAGAGCGAGAGCGAGAGCGAGAGTGAGAGTGAGAGTGAGTGTGAGAGTGTGTGTTTTCGTGTTGATATGCATGTGTTGTGCCCACATCAAATTCTGGATGTTCCTTTCTTGTCGCGAAGCCGAGGCTTCTCTACACGGCGGGAGTGCCCTTCTTCGTGCTCGCAGACAATCGGTGCGGGATTTTAGCTGAACAACAGGGATTGAGTAGCCGTGATAGTGCTCCTTCAGAAATCCCATGAAATTCCACTTTTCTATCGTATATGGACCTTCATATAGTGAGCCCCACAAGCCTTTTTCGAGCGAAGCGGGGTCTTGTGCTGCCAGTGTTTTGTCAGCCGACTGCTTCGGGGTCTGTGCACGAGTCTCGGAGGCCCTGTATTCGTAGACCATGGGAGGCCCATCTACCACGTGATTTGGCATCTCTTTGTGGCTTTTGCGGCCATTTGCCACTGGTTCGTCCTACCCTCGGCCCCAGCTCCTGCCAGTGATTTCTTGGGCTTTGGGATTTAGCGACTTGAGGGACTGGGAGGTGCTTGAGGCTTGCTGAGTAAGGAGTCGGAGCTCGGGATGGTGCCAGGCCGAAACCATGTCACCCGGTCTCTAGCCAAAGCATCGACACACTGAGGCCTGAGGTATCCCGAGGCAACAAGCCTGAAGCTCTCCTAAGACATAGAGAGCTGGAGTTCCCATGTCTTGGAGCTGAACAGCATGCTCGGCTGCTCCAGTAGATGGTGCCAAGCTCAAGCTCCATGGGGTTACATCGCCGAGACTACGAGTCACCTATCTGCAGTATACAACACAACGCGGCCGCCACTCGTCAAAGCAGAACCTGAGCAAAAGTCGACTATGTATATATATATATATATATATATATGTATAGATATAGTAATGTCGGCTGGGTTTGGGGGTAGTCGTCCGGTCACGCCATGGTTCACGTAATGTGCAGAGCACGTCTTGTGCGCACATTAAGAAAGCCAGCTGCTCGATTACAAGCCAGCTGCTCATTTCGGTCCTGGCTTCTGCTTGGATGCCTTTGCATTGTCCTGGGCCTGCCTTGGAGCTTTGCAATGCCGTTTAGGGCGGGTCAGGAGGCAGAGGCCTTCAAAGCCTTGATGTCTGCCGCGAGGCAGTTGGAGCTTGACTTTCAAGGCGTGACTTCGAACAGCTCCGTTGTCAGTGAGTTTGACTACGGTGATGTTTATTTTCAGGAGGGGCTGCGCCAAGTCTCATCGGCTTGGTCTTCTGCCGTGGCAGGGAGAGACCTGCGAGAGCTGTGCATAAGGGTAGAGCCCGACTGGATCAAAGCCGCCTGCGGCTCCTTGATTCTCACCTTGAAGATGGCCTTTCAAACAGGTTATCCCATTGAGCTGCAGTTCCAGTTCTTTGGTGGCAGCGATTGCGACAAGAGCTTTCCAGGCGAGTCCAGTTTTTGGTACGAGGCGGAAGAGCAGCTGCGCCTCGGTCCCGACGGCTGGAGCCAGGCTGCTAGTCTGCTGCCCTTCGAGCAGGAAGAGCCATTGGAGCAGGAGGAGGAGGACGACGACTTTTTCCCTCCTTACCCAGACATTTACCCCGCCGTTGTGGCTAGGTTTTTCGCCGAGCATCTAAATGTGACAAGGCTGCCGGGCATGCGATATGCTGGAAGATGCGAGGAAGTACCTGGAGGGAGTCTTTGTAAGCCTGGTGACTTCAGGTTTACAACTGCTTAGCCGCGCGCAGACGATGGAATCGCGCCAGCTGTGCGAACGATTCCTGTTGAAGTTGACACAAGCCGATGTTCAAATCCTGCTTGGGCGGATCCGCTGTGATCCACTGCGATAGGAAAATGAAACAGCCAAAACATGCAGCCAAGCTCTGGTCTCATGCCCAGAAGCACCAGAAGTTCATCAATATGATGTTATCAGGATGAAGCCTTGTTCACCAAGTATGCTAGCTACGAAGCAAAACCCTTCGGCCTTGTCATCGTCTTACCTGCCATGACGTACATGATGGCCTTGACCCACAGCAACCATCGAGGTCCGACGACCCCACGTCCTTGTCCCAATGACATGAAATCGTTGAGATCCTATCCATTGTTTCCGCAAGCCTAAACTTGCACTGTCAACCTTAATGTCATGTCGAACTTGAAGCTGCTCATCGTTCAACTCCGAAGTATCAGTTCTGGTTACTAGTTCTAGCTGCTGGCTATGGCGGCATGCCTCCTGGATCCTGTAACTCGCACAGGGTCTCAGGCGTAAGTACTCAGATTCTTGCGAACCTTTGTGGGTGCGGCGTTTGTTTGTCTGTTAGTGGTTTTGCCTACCTGCCTGTCTGGCCGTTTGCTTGGTTGTTTGTTTGCACGCATGTCGTGTCGACATATGCAATTGTCCACCTGTTCAATTGCAATGCTACGCCACGATCGCATGCTTTGATCTTTAACCTTGGTTTGTTTGCAGCCCAACTGCCCTGAAATGTTCTATCGGCATCTTCGCTTCTCTCCTTCCCCTGATTCAGGGGAAGGAGTGAAGCCCGACCCACCAGCCGCCCAACCTCAATGCTGAACCCCGAAGCAAGCAAGCAAACACTGCCCTCGACATCAAAAGCTAATCCCGCCCTCAATCTTGTAAAACGCTGTTTAAACCCCCTAAAACCCAAGCAATAAACTGTGCCCGAGGCTGTGAAGGAAGCGGCCTTGGATGCCCGTCAGAACCACTCTGAGGGACCTTTTGGGCCATGGGAGTGGTGGATCGACGCTGGGCCTCGGGTTATTTAGGGACTGTGGCTGGAGTTCCGGATATGTGTATGTATATATATATATATATATGTGTATATATATATGTATACTTTAGGTATCGGTATCTAGGGTTTAGGATGGGACAAAGATCAACGCGGTTTCTCGGCTTGTTAGAGTCTTGATGCAATTGATGTACGGCAGGGACCACCGAGTTCTCAGGATCTTTGTGCATTCGAGCGGTTCAGGCTTTCTGTGCGGCTTTCTGCACACTAAAGATGGCGAGTGCCGTACAGTGAGGAGTTCGGATCCGACGCCGGGTGTAGAATAGACTGAGCCCTCTTTCCTGAACCCTCATGGACGGAAGGCAAAAACAGGACTTTGTGCCAAATGGACCTAAACCCTGAACCCGGAAGTCTGTCCGAGTGTGAGCGCCGAAACCCGGAAGTCTTAGCCAGGAGCGGTTTCACGAGATGAAGGACGAGGTCTCCAAGCTGGCGAACGAGACGCAAGATCACGGGCTCTACAGGCCAGCTCTAGAGAACATAATATCGGGGCCTAAATAATTACCTGTACTATTTTGGTGGTTCCTTATCATAATTATAGTATAGTGGGCCCCAACTAATTATGAAGGCCGCTATAGCATCGAAGGTGTGCTTTTGGGGCTTTGGGGCGTTGAGTTTGGGGCTTTTAGACTTGGAGGGTTATCGGGGGATCAGGGTTTCAAGGGGGTCAGGGAGCTATAGGGGGTTCAGGGATTTAGGGGTCGGCCTCAGCACGGGTTCAAGTAGGGGATTTGTACGCTCCTGGGCTGCCGAGCTTTGTATGGCGACACTCAGAATATGTTTTATTCTGTCGTAACACATCGAGGCGGTCTTGCTTTAGCAAACAATTGACCACAAGGCCGAGGCGAGCAGCCGCTTGCGATAAGCTTTTGGGAATATGCAAGCTAGGCCACCCAGACCTTCCCAAGCAACGCTATTGTAAGAGCCATGTCATCCTTCGCAGTTGTTACTTGTTTTGCTCGCCACGGTTTAGAATGCCTCCCTGAGTGATGCCAACACAGCTATGGTGGCATGTCAAACGAAGGCTACTGCATAGATGCAAGCATCATTGTGATTGAAAGCTTGTTGAAGGCGCGATTTGCTGTCAGGACGCTCGTGGACCATCTGAGTCTTCTTCCGAATCTGACCGTGGGAGTCAACCGCTCGATTTGCGTCGGGCAGGGAGGGCAATGCCTCTGAAAGAGTTACTCTTATGCATTTTGCTATATGTCGCTTTGCATGGTTGCAGGTACATAGTTAGAAAAGAATATGTTAGCATGTAGGAGTCTATATTTGCAGTATTTGTGGTGCATAGTACATGTATGTATATATATATATATGTATACACACACACATATATATATACATGCGTATTGTACTAGAATTGTACCAGTCTAGCAAGTCTTCTAGAGCCCCAAGTGAAAGGCCTCGAGTCTAGAGTCCCGGAGTTCGAAAGCGCAGCATGCAGGTTACTCGATCAGACTCTCTCATGCAGGGACACGATACCGGCAGGAATTGCAATGGTAAGGCCCTACTACTCACCTTCCTCCGGGCAGGAGAATAGCCCTAAGCCCTGAACTGTCAGAGCCTGCCCGTGTCGCTGCCTTGGCTGTTTTTGCAGGCCTGGTTGCGAATTCCCGGCTGCAACAGCACAGCCTTTGTTAGGTCACGTGCCTGGGTGGACTTCTCGAAAAGCCCGGCGTTCCATACTTCCCAGGTAGTCATTTTGGAACGGCACGATGGGCTTGCATGTGGATGTTCAGCAGAATTTGGACTTGCTTTCAAGGCCTGCTGTCAAGTTCAGATTTTGCAGGTTGCATTTGATCGAGTGTCTTCTGCTTTGAAGCGTCTCGGGACCGAGCTCGAAACATCCATTTCGCCCTGTGCTCGCAATGCCTCTGGTGTGTGAACGAGTGCAGCGAGGAAACGTGGCCGGAAAAAGTTGCTCTCGGCAGGTTGGTGAGTGTCGTTGAATGGGAAACTAAGTCCTTCGTTCCGTCCGGCTTTGCGGACTTCAGTCTCTGGGCATTCGGACGTGGATGCAACAAGCCTAAGTCGGCCATGCTCCGGCGAAAGCACCAAGGCTGACTATGGACGATGCAGAAAAGTGGCGACTTGGATTTCGAGAGTCGGGAGGTCACGGGGTATTGATCTGCACTGATGGTGCGCGGATGCATGCATGCATGCATGCATCGATGTACGCATACTTGCACAGATGCGCACCCTACATGCAGCCGTGCATGCATGCATGCATGCAAAGACATGCGCACGCATGTGCAAGGCTTTTTAAGATGGGCATGCGGCTCTATACGTGCGCGTGTGTAGTCGTGTAATAGTGCTGGTGTTTGTCAGTTGAGAACGGTACAGCTTGGACAGCCGGAAGCATTGCCGAAGCTTCATACAGGGAGAAACACACTCCTCCCCCGAATGCAGGGTCTAGGAGCGAACCTCACTGCCTGGGCTGCCTGGGCTTCGTGACTTTGTCGCCTCTCTCTCACGAGGAATGGGCAGGGTGACTTGATGCATTCGCCATTCTCCCGCGAGCACCTCAGCCTAGAGTGCCTTGGCAGCAGTTTCGTTTGGGAGAAGGTCTTGCGTCTTGGTACGGATCCACGCAAATATGTATGCGTACATAGCTGTAGATACATATATGTATATATGCATATGTACACACACACGCGCACACACATAAATATGTATGTATATATATATATATATATATAAGATTATTATTTGTTCAGGCCACTGACTTCAAGCATCAACAATCACGCGCACTCGTCCTTCTGGCATTAACAAAGAAACCTGCAACTCCAAGGAGCGCATCAAATAAGAACGCAGCAAGTTGCAGGCCGTCATTGGAGTCACGGTTTTTGCTCATGTAAGGGATACATACTCACGGCCGCTGCTGGCTTCATCGCAGCTGAAACCTTCGTTTGCATATCTGGTGGGGTTGACGACGAGCTGTGGCTTGCAGGTGCACCAATACGGGAAATCGCCTCCTGGTAAATGGGGAAAGTTACAGTAATGTGGATGATCGTCATGATGATGCTGCAGGCGGCTATGCGACTAACGGCGATGACTATCATGATGCCTGTGACGAAGAGGGCAAGCATGAGCAAAAGCAAGATGAGGATCGAAAGCGCGTCTTGGAACCCCGAGCAATTCAGATGGACCTGGGGCTTGGTAGTCTGATTTCTCTGTCCAAGGAAGATGGATCCGGTCACGATCTACTCCGCGCGTGCCCGAGCATGGTCTAAAATGTGTCACAGATCCCGTGAACCACTCTAGACTCCGTTTGGTGTATGCTTGAAGTATACCCAGTCATAGCATCATGTCGCTGAAAAAGGGGCCTTCTAGAGCTTCATTGGGAGATGTTGGGAGGTCGGCCATGGTGACATGCTGGAGAAGGCGGGCCAAGACCATGTTGCTACCGTTACAGATGATGTTCTGGGCCGAGAAAAAGTTTAGTGTTTGGTTTTATTTGTCCGCTGATGACTATCGTGACGGCCGTGATGGCACTTCTTGAGACAATAGAGCATGGGCTGCTGCTGCTGATGATGCTCCTATCACCGGTGGACGTCATGCAGCAGAAGCGGCTTCAGCACACGCTGAATCGTGACAAGACTCAGACACACCATCGTCGCCATAAGCATGAGCACCCTTTCTCTCAATAGGAAACCTGCCTCTATAGCAGCGGATACGGTACCTGGTATCACATGCACCTCCCTCAAACAAGACGCTGGTCTCGAAAGCATCTCGTCGGTACGAAGCCTGAACAGAGCATAAACTGCGTCTTCTGATTCGCTTCTTGTCCACTCGGCAGGATTTCTGGGAAATGCTGCAATGCCACTCTGTGAGGACAGCTAGTCTCGGAGCTTTCGTGGAGTGGACCGAGAGTACCCTAGGGATCTAAGGACTCATATATTGAGGCTTTTGATTTTGGGCCCAAAGACCA